TTTAGGGTTTACATAGGGTTTAGGGCCTCATCAACTGCACCAAAAAGCGCCCTAGAGCCGCGGCACATCTCCAGGTGCTGGCAGCCAGTGGAAGCCCCGGGAGGGATCAGGCGGGAAACGATTCNNTTTAGGGGTTTAGGGTTTACGGCTTCTCGAAGGGCTCTTCATGCGGTCTCAGAGGGCTTTCAACACGGTTTCATGAGGGTTCTACAGGATTTGATAAGAGGTTTTGGATTGCAGCAATGTTAGTGAGGGCTTCAAAAGTTTCATAAAGGGTTTTCCGGGAATTCGTGACTCTTGAAAGAAGGTTATAGCGTTTCTTTAGGGCCAGGTTCTTAGGGGGCATTTCCTACATGGTAGGTAGGGTTAATAAGATGGGGATGGGGGCTACGGTGATCGTTTACAGTTGTTGACACAGTTTAGGGTTTACGGTCTCTTGTTCACGTATCATGGATTATTGTCTGCTACGGGTTTTCATTTGTTTTCGGCGCGTACGGAGGTAGGGCGATTTTCCACAAGTATACATTGGGAGCTGGGGGTCAGAATTTAGGGTGCTAGGGTTTTCTTATTCTGGGTTCAGGGCCTGTAGTAAGCCAGCCGTACATTCCGCACACGCTAATGTCGCATGTCAGGACTACCTCGTCGAAACACATTTGGGTTAGTACTTTTTCAGCAACAGACTGCTAAACTGGTAACCACTAGTAATAAACCTCATCATCCCGGAAGGCTAGACTAAAACGGGGGCATTAATAGTTACAAAAGGGCTTTGGGGTAGTATATTGTAGTAGAATGATCACAAGGAGCCCAGGGAATACTATTATCAATACTTTCGACCCCTGTATTGGAGGGGAAGCTCCAGATCCTTCAGTAGGTCCTCAACTCCCAACACGAGCATCCTGCCAGCCGAAAGCATACTGCACCACAAGGCTAGTGTATTCTGGTACCGTGGTAGTATTGTGGTAGTTGTACTATGGTAGTGACGGTATTGTGGTTGGTCAGCTTATCTACGGCTTTAAGCTCTGGGGTCTTTTGACTCATTGCCCACATGGAAGCCTTTGAGTTTTGTTCTTTTTGGACCCGATTTGTGAAGGAGAGAGGTGAGGGATCAAAGAGACCGGAGGGCCGGGTTACCATCTCCGTAGCTTCATAAGGCCAAGGCTCCACGACTCAACTGAGCCTTCTCCCGGAGAGGTCTCCTGGGATCCACCGCCAAGGCTCAACATGGTTCTGCAGATCTTTGAAGGGTTTGATGTTCTGACAGAATATGCCAGCACAGTATCTGAATGCTGGGACATGCTACCAAGCGTTCAAATTATACCACCATAGGATTCTTGCTGTTGCTACTTGGCGCACCCCGAAATCCTAAACCCCAAGGCAGACTTCGGCTTTGGGCTTCGGAGACCTTTCGGATGTTTCAGTCTCAGGATTCGGTCCTTTCATTTCAATATAGAAGGCTGAATAGGTATTCGTTAGTAGTACCATTCCCTCGCTTTCCTTAATATCAATTAATATCAATGCACTGCAATGTACCCCTTATTTCCTTAATATCCATGTACTGTAATGTGCCCCGCCTACTTTCCCTTAGTTTCCATATGTTGTAATGTACCCCTAACAATTCAGGCCCCTACAGTATTGCTTTTTAACCTTTATAGAATCTCGATAGTCTGGTGCTGGCTTTTGCGTGTCTTGGCCGTCTTTGAGTACCAGTCCACAGAAGGAAGCCCATCAGCTCCTTTTTGTAAAGGGCCCAAGTAATGGTAATAGTATTTTTTCTCTATATATATATAT